ACTGGGTGATTGATGACTGCATTGGTAACTGGTGGAGACCGAACTTTGAACCGCCGCAGGTGAGTGCTCATGTCGACTTTCTTCAGTCAAGTACTGATTGTTCCAAAAGCCTTTGACCTATCAGCCACATTAGCCACAATGGAAACTCTTGCCCTGCTATATATGGAAAAGATGCCCTGTGCTTAAATAGTCCCAGTACCCTATTTCTAAATGTTTTCATACTGAAAATGGTTGCTTGGTTTGCTGATATGCATTTCTGTCTTGTTGGGTTGTTTTAATGCTCATGAGTACTGGTGCCTTGTTAGATCCTGTCAGTAGTTGAGATGGCAATTCCTCTCTTGAGTACTTGCTTATAAAAGTGGTTTTTATTATTTCATGCCATGAAAGAACAATGTGTGACGCTGCTTGCTAATTTGTGAAGTAGTACTTGAGATGGCACAATACTTTCAAAGCTCTGTACAACCATTTTTTAATGGTTTTTCTTCCAGTATCCCTATATCCCAGCTCATATTACCAAACCAAAAGAGCACAAAAAGCTTTTCTTGGTCCAGCTTCAAGAAAAGGGTAAGTGTTTGTTTGCGACAAAAGATGATGTTTAGAACAATGTCTAAATTCTTGCATTTCATGCAAGGGAATGTGGGAGCAAGCTTGTGTTCGTATGCCTGCAGTTGTTTATAGTTAATCACTAAAAAAGTGGAATGCTGGTACTGGTTTGGAAGGTCTTTGAACATGATTTCCTAGGAAATGCTCGTTCCTGCTCCTGCATCAGTATATGTACAGCACGTGAACCCCATATTTAACTAGCAAAGGAATAAACCTGCTCTAGTTCTGTAGTGCTGTATGTAGTGATCTTGTTTTGAGGTGTGTGGGAGGTGGCGATACCTTGGCTGAATGTGTGGTGGGTTTTCCTGTTAATCCACTTGTGTTTGTTTTTAGCTCTGTTTGCAGTCCCAAAAAATTACAAGCTGGTCGCTGCACCGTTGTTTGAGCTCTATGACAATGCACCAGGATATGGACCCATTATTTCTAGCCTTCCTCAGCTTTTAAGCAGGTATATTATGATATATTTATATTGCAGTTGTTGGGAACACATTCGCTGTGGGACACCAAAGCAAGGCTAGGCACTATAGAAAACAGCTGTGAAAAGGTTGCAGCTGTCCCAAAGAGCTCAGAACCTACCTCAGACAAGATGTGATGGACAATTTAGAGGCACTGCTTGCAGCTTGCTAGCACCAGTCCTGTCTAGCAGCTGTAGCAAAGGAACATGTGAAAAATGGTGAGGATGAAGCTGTGCACAGGCTGAGAAATGGCTTCTTGTAAGCGTTGGGGACAGCGTGAGAGTAAAAGCCCAGATGCGTTTGAAGCACTGAATTAGGTGTGCATGTTATCACAGCTTTGTGCTGATTAAACGTGGTGGGTTTTTTTAGGCTCTGTGTGGTAGAGTTTGTAACACAGAGCGAGTTTATACCACGTATTGGTAGGGACAGCTGTGTTTTCCCCTTTCTTTTCCCAATGTACACGCTCTTTGGCTTTCTTACCTGAAAGTGGCTTGTATCTTGGGTGTCAAGCTCACTGGTCTCACTGGTTTCTGTTACTTCAAATGTTCAGGCATCCCACAGCCTCTCAGCTATTACTCAGGGAAGTAGTTCTGTCATCCACTTTCTCTGATGAAAAACAGCCTGTCAGCAGAATATCAGCACTAGTACTGCCCGTAACAGGCTTGTGTCATGCTGGGCTTTTTCTTTATTTAGGCCAAATTTTGGCAGTTGTTGTTATGGGAGCTTCCCCCTTCCTCTGCTCTGAAGAGAGCAGGTACTTTATCCCAAGTACCAGCAAAACAGTCGCTATTTTACAGCCAAGTGCCAGTTTGGCTCTTCTCCTCCTGCTCTACTCTGCCCTGGTGAGACCACATCTGGAATATTGCGTCCAGTTCTGGGCCCCTCAGTTCAAGAAGGACAGGAACTGCTGGAGAGAGTCCAGCGTAGGGCTACAAAGATGATGGAGGGAGTGGAGCATCTCCCTTCTGAGGAGCGGCTGAGGGAGCTGGGGCTCTTTAGTTTGCAGAAGAGGAGACTGAGGGGAGACCTCATTCATGTTTATAAATATTTAAAGGGTGAGTGTCACGAGGATGGAGCCAGGCTCTTCTCGGTGACAAACAATGATAGGACAAGGGGTAATGGGCACAAACTGGAACACAGGAGGTTCCACTTCAATTTGAGAAGAAACTTCTTCTCAGTGAGGGTGACAGAGCCCTGGCCCAGGCTGCCCAGAGAGGTTGTGGAGTCTCCTTCTCTGCAGACATTCAAAACCCGCCTGGACGCCTTCCTGTGTAACTTCATCTGGGTGTTCCTGCTCCGGCAGGGGGATTGGGCTGGATGAGCTTTGGAGGTCCCTTCCAATCCCTGATGCTCTGGGATTCCGTGTTTCTGTGTGATTGGTACCAGTGCAACAGACACATCCGAAGGCTGGACATCTGGAAATGGAGATGGGTGTTTGCTTTCCCTGGGGGAATGCTGTTGGTTGTGAACCTTAGTTAGCTCTTCTGTTGAGTATGTCAGTGCGTTACCCTTTGAGTGTATGTGATTGGCCCTGCCAGCAGAAGTGCTGTGGAAGAGTTGCTGATGGGATGTAACTCTCACTGGTATTTTCATATCTGTGAAGGTCTCCTCTTAAGAGATGAAATGTTAATAATTAGCTCTTCTGCGGCCTTAAGAGACTGATGAGCAATGCTGGTGTAGCACTGGCTGTTAAAAATGATGCTTTCTGCTATACTGTAAAGCTGTGTTACTAACAAAATACACTTAGGTTCTGTCAGATGGAGGCTTATTAAGAGCAGAAACAAAACATTTGCTTATTCATTCAAACTTTCACTTAAGTAAAAAGAATGAGAATCCCTTACTGGTATAATCCTTTTAATTTTAGGTTCAACTTTATTTACAACTGAATTCCGTGTACCTGAGGAGTCTGATAGAAGAAGCCGTCTCTGTGAGCACAGCTTTAAAATGTAGAGAAAAGAATACGTGTGACGCAAGGATATTTTTAATGTCATTCTTTTCCCGAAGGCCGCTAAACTTTCTATTGTATGAATAGAGAAGTGAATCAACTGTTTAGGTAGTGGGATGGCAATGTGATATCAGTGTTTTAATCACTTTTCACTGTAATACTCATCAGGTTTTTTTTTTGTACAACATTAAACAAAATGGTTAAGATTCTGTTTGTCTTGGATTATTGGTTTTGTTTTGCTTTAGTTGTCTCCGAGGTACACAGTTTAAACTTTATTGCTTTCCATCAGGAATACAGAAGGTCTTGGAAACAAGAGGATTAATAAGAAGTTATTATTTGCTTTAATAACTCTTTTAAGGACTGCTTTCCAAATTCTGCCTCTGATCAGAAGGGGCACTGCTGCTTACGCGCTGTCCTTTCTTATGAAGGCGCTGTTGGAGAGTGCACCCTGCCAAGAGAACTGAAACTTGCCAAAGTGCTTGGTTCTGTTGCCAGTTGTACTGGGAAGCTCTGTGCAGAGCAATTGTGACAGCTTGGTGCTGTGTGGTATGAGATAGATACTGAAGAAATACCGCAAAATTTAGTAGTAGGGCTGTTCACTTTGGATGCTTAGCAAAATACATGGTTTCTTAAGCAACTGCAAGATGGGGAAAATAAAGCTAGCAGTGCAGCGTAGAACGGAACAATTCTTGCAGGGGGCAGTGAGGAGGGGGAAGGTGCAGGTTTGGCAGTCAGATGCTGCATGAACAAGCTGCGGAGCACTGGGCGATGTGCAGCACTTACCAGCATCCCTCACCGTCCCTCGCTGCCAGGTTGCAAGACTAATTTCTGTTCAAGCTACCTGTGAAGGAGCGTTGCCAGCGCGGTGTGCGCTGTTCCGCTTCCTCCTGTGACGACGTGCCTGTAGGTTTTTGGGGTTACAGCAGAACCCTGCTGATTTTCCACTATTTCCACCCCCTCCTTTGGCTGCCCCAGGCGCGGGTGGGGCCGCTGGGAAGCGCCGCCCCGGCCGTGACTCAGCGCGCTTCTGACGGAGC